TGTCAATCTGCCGAAATGTCGATTAGTCGAAATGTAAATTTGCCGAAATGTCAATTTACCGAAATGTTGATTAGTTGAAGAAATGGCAATCTGCAAACCTAAGTATGGTTAGGTTAGAGTAGGTGGTATTTAGTTACTTAAGGGACCGATTACCAATTTATTTTTGGTGCAATGTAAGAAGCAAGTCACATGATATCCTTTGACTTCCTGATTTCACAACTATAGCCCTCGCCGGCCGAGGGGGACGGTGCCCCCCATAGGGTTTTTTTCACGATAGCTCCGAACACGCTGGCGATAGAAAGCTGAAACTTGGCATACCTGACCGTTGATTCAAGCCGGATCTTTTGACAGTAACCGCATTTTCGGGTCAGGTCAGGTCACTGACCTATGATGTCATAAGTGAACCTCTGCACGGTCTTCAGATGTCGCAACTTCGCAACGCCCTCACTGCCAAAGAAGCTTTCACAGGGAAATGAAACTTGCAGGGTCTAGTATCCATTACGAGTCTCACAACTTTTATATCTCGGATTTTTCCTCAAGGTCATATGAGGTCAGGTCATTTTCGTGACCTCACCATTATAAGTCAATGGGGAAAAATGAAAACTGCTATGCTGGCGCCAGGAACGATCTCCAACTATCTCAAGCACACAGAATCGTGATTTGATGCACTCCTTGCAAGGTTAGATGCGTCACTTTTGCAATGTTGACCTTGCGTAACGTCATTTATGACGTCATCAAGGTCATATTAGTTTTTCGTCAATAACTCCCGATCAAATTGAGCTAGCGAGTCGGGAAAGCCACCAATGGACTCAGGAAGACCTGCCAAATCGAATGATATGCGACATGACCTCTTTAGACCAACTTCGTGACCTGAGGGCGCTGACCTGACCTTGACCTGAGGTCAACATCCTAAGTTGACTTGACCCAAACAAAAAGTATATCATTCGACGCGCCTGAGCGAGGCGAACACGATGCTGCCAAAATCGGCCCTCTGCTGCCGTTTTTTGCAAAGTTATTCCCCAAAAACTGAACCGTACGTTGGGGCACTTGACCTGACCTCAGAGTAGTAGTAGTGGTAGGGGTAGGGGTAGATGTAGTGGTAAGGGTAGGGGTAGGGGTAGGGGTAGTGGTAGGGGTAGGGCTAGTGGTAGTGGTAGTGGTAGGGGTAGTGGTAGGAGTAGTGGTAGGGGTAGGGATAGTGGTAGGTGTAGGGGTAGTGGTAGGGGTAGGGATAGTGGTGGAGGCAAAGTGTGGCCCCGGGCTGATCCCATCTGACAGGAGGTGACCTATGTGACCTGGCCTGACCCAATGTGACCGGGGGCCGGGGCTGACCCCCTTGACCCGTCTTGACCCCGTATCACCCAAATTTCATCCAACCAAGCCTTTAGAACAGTTCCTTTTCATTCTCTTCACATTTCCGTCCATATCTACGCTTCTAGACGACACATCGATTTGAATCGAACACCATTCGAAAGCGAATTGGCTGGTGCCGCATTTTATTTTTCTACCACGTAGCAAAGCAAGTGGCGCAGCCGCTTGTTTACATCTATATTACTATTTGTGGTGACGTAGTTTCTGTCTGTTACCGAGGTCGCGACATGGTGCTACGTAGCGCGGGTTACAGGTCACACCGTTGCACATACCGCGCTGAAATTTGCGCAACTTATAGAACAAGGATGGACAACGTGCCTTTGAGCGGTCTCGGCTCGATCGGATCGATAGCGAGCGCGTGGCGCGTGCCCGAAAAGTGCAAATTCGCGTCATAGACTTTACATGTATAAATCGGCTTGCAAAAACGGGCGAAAATGGCTAAATTTGCCCGACACGGGTCCGGTTTCCGTGCAATATCTCGGTAACCGTGGGCCCGATTGGCACGGGGAAAACACCATCGTGTAGAGAATCGAACGGGCTATCGAATGGTGTGCGGTGCGGAGGATGGCACGCGCCAAGTGCACACGTGAGGGCAATTTTATTTCAAAAAGTGCCGTTTTAAATGGATTTGGGATTTTATTTTATTTTCACGTGACCATCAGAATGAGTGAGTCAAAACAACGCCTATTCGCAGGAGAAATGTACCGCCTCTCATGATAAAATTGTGAAAAGCTAATTAATCAAAAACAATGTGGAAAAAATCGCTGAATTAAATGGTATTTGTCCAAAATGTGCCACTAAATAATTACACGGATTTTGCTGCTTAACCTGATACGTTTGACAATTGAAAATACTATCATTGGAAAGAGCATTCAATTCTCTCCATGATCCAATCGTCACGTTTGCATGACAAGCAACAATATTCTTAAAAATATAAATGTTTCAAACCTCTGCAAAACGATTTTTAGTGAAAATTATCTACGCCTTTAATTTGTCATAAAACTACGCGCCTAAATTATAAAGCACATTTGACAGATTCTGAAGTGGAAAGCATGCTTATCAGACACGGGCACCTCGATGCGGTGGATATTTTTTCCACAAACCAAAACGTTTAGCCGTCAAAAAGCAATCGACCGAAATGGATAGATAACCCTATTTATATACACTGTGGATAACCCAACCGACACAAGAACAACCGAACACCCGCCGATCGAAAATATCCCTTTTCGCGTTGCGGAGCACGCGGGTCACCCTAGTAGGTCTCTATTTCCGGTTCTGCGTCTTGAGAAGCAGCGTGGGTAGGTGCTGATGTTGGTTTTGGGTGTTGTTTTTGTTGTTTTTACAGAAGATTCCTAATATTTTTATGCCCTCTTTATTTCACAAAACTTGCTATTGTGCACATCACTCAAAACTGCGTTTTATTGCCAAACTGTTGAATATATTATGCTGCGGCGTTAGTGGCGCGTTTTGTGTCAATATTTTGTTGACCGGAAATGGAGTGGATGGGGAAAGACGCCTACTCGATGCATGGGGCAGGACGCCCCCGGTTCTCTGAAAGGGGGGCGTTTTGCCCGATGGTGAGAGTGCTTAACCCGCGCCCTGTAGGTGGGGGCCGAAAAGGCCCCTCCCTGTCCTTTTTCGCTGATATATCCTAAACGACTGCAGATATCGTCACCAAACTTTCAGGACTCCTCCGGGCATCCATTTTACACGTTGTAACCAAAGTTCATTCCAAAGGCTATGATAGGTTGACCACAAATGACGTCAGAATGACGTCATGTTCTGCCATTTTCGTCATGTACTGTTGATAGATGGGGTGGGGGCGCTTTGCACATGGGTGTGGGGCTGGGCGTATTACCCAGGGTATGGGGCAAAACGCCCTTTTGCAAGGGTATGCGAAAACCTTTTTGGGGGATTAAACAACACACGCAGGTGTCTTTTCTTGGTCTAAAAGCGTAGTAAAAAGAATGAGCTACATGATGATGCCCAAAAGTTTGAGTAATCTGTGTTGGGTTGAGTGTCAGAAGGTTTCGCGCTTAAGGGTTTAAGGGTATTTGACCTATTCACCCTACCCCCATTTTTATCAAAGGGACACTTTGGGAAACGTTGGTGCAGGTGTTTAAGAGTGGCTATATGAATCCATTGTGTGGTCGCCCTTTCCAATAAGTGTCATGTAACAGCAATGGGAGTGGGACGCTATATGAACTGGACCCAGGGTGCTCGCCAAGAAGACCAATGTCTCCATCCTATCATCCTTCCGGCTCTGAAATGGTCTTGTCAGACCGAAAGGGCATAACCCAACAAAACAAACTAAATTCGATGTCTGGTTGCGTGGTGAAGTGGTTAGCGCACTAACCTCGCGTTTAAATGACACGGGGTTCGAATCCCATCGCCGGCTGATGCTTTTGGCGTGTTGTCCCAGTAAACATGCCGACGTCGGCGACTGGGGGGCTCGAATCCCGCCGCCGGTTGATATTTTTGGCGCGTTGTCCCAATAAACATGCCGACGTCGGTACCGTCGGTCCAACGACAAACGATCTCGTCAACCTCGGCAAATGACCTCGGCCCGACGTCGGCTCGACGTCGGCTGGACTTGGGCTGGACGTCGGTACATGCGGGCATACCCGATGTCCAGCCGATGCCGGGCCGAGGTTGAACCGACGTTGGGCCGACGTCGGGCCGAGCCTCGGCCCGACGTCGGGCCGACGTCGGCATGTTTACTGGGTCAGTACACTAGTAACATATGGGAGGTCTCTATGGGAGGAGATTGATAAGAAAAACAGTAAGTATAAAAAGTACATCTAAGAATTTTGATATCGGTGACCTAAGGTCAGGTCACTTTTGCGACCTCTCCATTCTTAAGTCAATGGAAGATAATTGAAAGGCGTCTCTCTCTTTGTTGGACGAACACAATTCTAGACACTCTCAAACATCGGTATTGGGTTAAAATTCACACACTGAAAAAGAAAATTGCAAATGTGACCCCTCCTTATGTCCCCGAGGTCATCTCAGGTCATGAAAGGTACCCAGCAGTTTTTTGGAATTACTTTTGATACATGCTAAAGCGAGGAAAACACGTTAGATGTGTTCAGGTTGATGATACGGATAGACTGATATACAGCATGACCTTTTTCGGTCAGGTCGTGACCTTAACCATGGGTCAAAATTTCAAAATGGCCTACCTATGGGCTATGAAAGTCAAATTATAGTTCATACGACGGATTTCGACGAGAGGAACCCGCTGCTGGAACATAAATGTTAAGCCCTTCTTTTGTCAAAAGTTGTTTATATAAAAAATAAAACGGCTATTTTCCAAGTTTTTGCCCTGCCAGAGACAAAACCGCTGGTCCTAGGTCAAAACTGAGGGCTTACGTCAGAAAGTGTTAAGATGGCTACCGAATGCCGAATGCGCTTTCCCGCGGCGATGTAGCTAAGAGCGTTAAGAGGGCTATTGAATGCGCTTTTGCGCGGCGCTGTAGCATGTGGCCAAAGATAAATAAGGAAAGAGCATCACAAGATTTACAGAAGAGTCTACCTGGTCATAGAAAGTATGATGGCATTTAATGAATTTGGTACAGAGCTAGCAGGAAAGGATAGGCAGTCAGCGGCCGGTACTGCACACTGCTCACCTGGTCAGCCGCCTGCTCAGCTGAAACTGATGCAGTCCCTGCCAGAAAGGGTCATCCGCTGGAAGAGGCTCGGTACCAACCAGCTTTGCCAGCTCGGTGCTCTCAGACACCGCCTTTAGCCCACTGACGGCAGCACCCATCACTGCCGACTCTAATCAGCTGAAAACAAAACACATTAGGTAGGTACCTACACCACTGGGCAAAAATGACTAAACACAACATGCATTTATAGCAATTATAGCACCATTATATGCTGAGAAATCACAAAGTAACCACGTGAAATCATCACAAACACTAAATTAAAAAATAAGGAAAAATTATAACATTTCAAGCCATATGTATTAGTGAATTGTTACTTCTACTCTATGGAAGCCCTTCTTTTTGAACCACCGCACCACAGCTTCATTAACCCTCACCCGTAGGGGTCGAACGGACCCTCCCCCCCTCGGTTTTAGCGAAGAACTCGCGGAAAAAGCGGCCGATCGCAACGACACTTTCAGTACCCTCACGTTAACAAATTTTACACCTACCCTAAAAATTATATGACCCTGATCCTAATGACCTTTGACCTGTGACCTACTTTTCGAGACCTGAGCACTGGTTGGTCGCTCTTTTTTATCAGCATGCTGTCAGTTTTCCCATATAAGGAAGTTATTGCTGGCGCTTCTTGGCCTCTCATTGGTCAAATGAATAGACCACGTGAATTCGACCAATGAATTCGGTAGTAGGTAATCCATGGGTTGGGTTAGGTGGTGTTTGCTAGGTTTGGTACCGAGCCAGCGTTAAACAGCTCGCACATGTGTGGTAACCGTTCCAGAAAGTGCTTGTCGTCACTTGGGCATTTCATGTAATGCCTAAGCAATGACAGTACTCGGCTTATTTCGACCATATTTCAGCGACTGCCGGGCCTCCGCCTGGCACTCCATGAAATGCCTAAAATTTTCAGGCATTCGCCGTAACGCGCGTATTTCTACGAAGATTTCAGTCTTTTCCGGCATTCCACGTAATGCCTAGGCATTTCATGAAATGCCGGATTTCACCCGATGCCTACTATATACCGGGTGGCCCAGAAAAACGTTCCGAACTTTGGAGGCCTATATATCAAATACGAGTACAAATAACGAGCCAAAATTTTCATCAAGTTTGCGTCATTTCTTTGCGCATTGGTATGCCAAATTATAACACTATACCATCATTTTCAAGCTGGCAATCTTGAGTTGAATTAAGCAAGATGTTTTTGCTTTTTTGCCGATGTCAAACGATAGTGATGATTGGGTTAGACGTCCCATGTTATAAAAAAAAGAATAAAAAAGTAGAGCACGTGAATGAAACCAACACGTATTTTCTTATTTTAAATATTTTTGTCTCACTTATGTGCCAAATATTCAAATATTGAGCCAAAATGGCGCTCACGGATGCCATTCGTTTCAACACCAAATCATGTTTCGAGCAGGAGTGGCACGGTGCATGGATTACTGCTGATTACCCTCATTTCAGTAGATCAAACAGTAAATCGACCGGATAAAGAAAACAAACTAAAGCAGACTGGTTCCTGTGCCGGAAGACCACAGAATATAGCTTATGAAAAACAACATGGCCAGGCGATGACAAAAAAAAAAAAGAAGAACTGGTTGAAAAGCTACCTTTTCCCAGGAATGTCAGCCAGGAAAGCATTTGAGCCACAAGATGGTTAGAAAACTGGAACCTTCTTCCGATGCCGCTGGCAAAGAGCCATCGTGGTTGCCTGAGGGAATGTGTCATTCTGAGACCCGAACCATCAATGAGACTAGCTGCCAGTAGAAGTCATGGCTCTAGGCCGCGGTGCTGCGGGGTGAAAGTGACCCGTTCACTCACATTTTTCTAGTAAACATCGGAGCAAAAAAGTAATTTTTACATGGCATGCTTGTAATACGAACCGTTTAAAAAGTAATTTACCGAACACCATGAAAATCACACCATTTACTGAAAATGTGTGCCGCATTGACTATCGAAGTTTCAATGTTGTATCTTTATCACTTTCTGAGAAATATTGATTTAAAGTTGGGAACGTTTTTTTCTGGGCCACCCGGTATATATATATATATATATATATATATATATATATATATATATATATATATATATATATATATATATATATATATATATATATATATATATATATATATATATATATATATATATATATATATATATATGCAAGTTTTGTTAAACACAACAGCATAATGGGCACTTATCTTCTTCTTATTAAGACTTTCGAGGCGGCGAATGCACTGTCGAGGTTCGGGTTCGTGAGAATGTAAAATATTACCAAAAGATGTCATAAATAAAAGTAATTTAAGAAGAAGAAGATAAGTGCCCATTATGCTGTTGTGTTTAACAAAACTTGCATAAAAGAGAACCTGCTTCCGAACTATTCGAATATATATATATATATATATATATATATATATATATATATATATATATATATATATATATATATATATATATATATATATATATATATATATATATATATATATATATATATATATATATATATATATATATATATATATATATATATATATATTATTTCCTTCGAATAAAAGCTTAGCTTTTGTTTTCTTCACAGCGCTTGAAACGATTTTAGCATGTTTAGTGCTCGCATTTGCTTATTTTTAAATTTATTCTTATTTTTATTTTTCACTTTGGCAATAGGGCTAATTTTATGAAGACTGTGTATTTTTTCATGTATTTTTATTGTGCTGTGACTTTGGCCGTAAATGGGCATGTCCCCTGGTTGATATGCTGAATAAATGAAATGAAATGAAATGAAATTTTATTCTCGAAACACCGCTAATTATCCTGGATTTCGGGCACCCAAGGGGTATTTGCCCCAAATGCCCCATCCCCCTTGATTCGCCAGTGGGTTCAGGTAGAGATTACTGGGTCAAATGGCCTACCATTAAAAATCATCATATCAGGGCTGTGACGAAAAATAATTGGCTTTAACCCTCGCCGGACCTATTGGTTTTCTACATACGCGCCGGCCGAGGGGGGGGGGGGGCGGGTACGACCCCCCCCCCCTCGCCGTTTCGCCCCTGGTGGAGCTAGCGCGTCGCGGAAAAAACGAGCGTGTGCGCCGTTACGAGACGCAGAGATTGGTACCCGATTTTAAGGTCCTAGGTCAACCGGTGACCTCTGAGGTCAGGTCAAGTGCCCCAAGGTACGGTTCAGTTTTTGGTGAATATCTTCGCAAAAAACGGCCGCAGAGCCGCGATTTTGGCAGCATCGTGTTCGCCTCGCTCAGGCGCGTCGAATGATATACTTTTTGTTCGGGTCAGGTCAACTTGGGGTGTTGACCTCAGGTCAAGGTCAGGTCAGCACCCCAAGGTCACGAAGTTCGTCGAAAGGGGTCATGTCGCATATCATTCGATTCGGCAGGTCTTCCTGAGTCCATTGGTGGCTTCCCCGACTCGCTAGCTCAATTTGATCAAGAGTTATTGACGAAAAACTAATATGACCTTGATGACGTCATAAATGACGTCACGAAAGGTCAACATTGCAAAAGTGACGCATCTAACCTTGCAAGGAGTGCATCAAATCACGATTGTGTGTGCTTGAGATAGTTGGAGATCGTTCCCGGCGCCAGAATAGCAGTTTTCATTTTTCCCCATTGACTTATAATGGTGAGGTCACGAAAATGACCTGACCTCATATGACCTTTAGGAAAAATCCGAGATATACAAGTTGTGAGACTCATAATGGATACTAGATCCTGCAAGTTTCATTTCCCTGTGACATCTCCTCTGGCAGTGAGGGCGTTGCGAAGTTGCGACATCTGAAGACCGTGCAGAGATTCACTTATGACGTCATAGGTCAGTGACCTGACCTGACCCAAAAATGCGGTTGGTGTCAAAAGATGCGGCTTGAATCAAAGGTCAGGTATGCCAAGTTTCAGCTCTCTATCTCCAGCGTGTTCGGAGCTATCGCGAAAAAACCCTATGGGGGGGGGGGCGGCACCCGCCCCCCCCCTCGGCCGGCGAGGGTTAACCCTCGCGGGCCCGGGGGGGGGGCGTTTTTCGCCCCCCCTGGCGAATATTTGCGATAACTCCCGATCGCTTAAGGATAGGAAGGCGAAACTTTCAGTACCTTTTCTCCCATCAATTTGACATCTTCTGAAGTAAAAAATTTGGACCTAGCCCCCTTGATGACGTCACAAGGTCCATTTTTCTAGACCCCTGCACGGCAAACTTCGGCATCACAGACGCAAACTTCAAATAGCTGCTAAAAATAGAGTTTTAGAGATAAAGACAAATTACGAGCACGGCTGTGTAGCGTTTGACCTAGAGAAAAATAGAAAAATAGTTTTGGTGACCTGAGGTCAGAGGTCAGGTCAACGACCCCGAAATGTGGTTTTAGTTTTTCGCAAATAACTTCGACAAAAATGGTTCTAGAGCTACGGCAGTGGTACCATCGCATTCGCCTTGTCAAGCCGCGTCGAATGATATATATTTTGTTCGGAAAAGGTCAAGTTTCATGTTGACCTCATGTGACCTCGAATGACCTCTAGTTGACCTTGACACATGAAAGGTTGTTTATGATGGATTTGTACCCGCTGATCACGAATCTGACATCTATTTTCCTCTAAGCCTTCATTTAGAGCTTCCGGATAGCAAAATTGTCTTATTTATTATTACTACAGATACAGATACAGATACAGATAGTTTATTCGGATCCTCCATAAGATGGATTTTCTGGTACCCACGTCAGTTACATAATATGCAAAAGTACACCACAATGCTACAATAAAACAGTTAAAATAGATCATACCTATTACATCATAAAATGTCGACTCCGTACGCTACCAATGTATCACATGAAACTGAGTCACATGTGGCTATTCCAAGTGCTAGAGGCACGGTAGAAAAAGCCACGTCGGGCAAACGCTGTCCGGACCTTGGGCAGGTGAAGCTGACCACCCGCCGTCGCCCGGGTGCACCGAGCCGACACATCAGACCGGCGGACGACCCGCTCACGCAGCAGCTCCGACGCTGCCGGAGCAGTGATCAGGTGGCGCATGGCAGCAATATTACGCTCGACAATCAGTTCGTCAACACTGGACCACCCCAGTTCGCGACGTAAAGGCGTGACATGATCGCGACGGTTGAGACCAGCAACAATGCGAACACCAAAGTTTATGACTTTTTGGATGCGCCTTTTCTGGGATGAATTACAGTTGGCCCAGACGGTAATGCAATGCTGTAGATGTGGGAAGACGAGAGCTTCTACTAAAAGCCGTTTGGTACATTTCGGCAGTTTCTGACGCGCTCTTGCTAAACCCACTAAGACACAGTAGCAGCGACGAACGATAGACGAGACGTGGTCCTCCCATGACAAGTACGAGTCGATGACGACACCAAGCACCTTGACGGAATGAGATGGCGAAATCACATCATCACCGAAGTTGATCGACAGATCCATGTCTACGTTTTGACGTCTGGACCTCAGTAATATAAACTCAGTTTTAGATGGGTTGATTTTAAGACGATTTTGAGTGAACCATTTTAGGGCCACGGAAAGAGATCGTTCAATGCGATTTTTCAAAGCCTGAATGTTCGAAGAATAATCTGAATCAAGGAACTGCGAGTCGTCAGCGTACATAACTAGCTTTCCAAATAGTATATGCTGGGGCAGGTCGTTTGTTAGCAGCAAAAATAAGACAGGGCCCAAAATGGACCCCTGTATTACGCCGTGCGTCACAGGCTGCACATCGGTCCCTCCATGCACGATCTGGGTACGGTCACACAGCCACGCAGAAAACCATTCCGGACAAATACCGTACCACCCCAGCTTGTCCAGGAGGCGGCCATGCTCAACGCTGTCAAAAGCTTTGGAGGTGTCCGCGGTGACGAGTGACGTCACCATCCCTTTGTCTATCTGATCGGTTGCGAACGTGACATCGTCAAGCAGGGCCGCCTCAGTGGACAAGCCGGGTCGAAAACCATACTGTTGTGGACATAGAATATGATGATCTGACAGGTAAGACATCAATTGAGTGCATACAACTCTTTCACAAAGTTAGGCCACAGTGCACAGTGGGGATTTTTCCGATCTAGCGCCTATTAATTCAAAAAATATTTTTTGGATTTTGGTTTATTTTTTGTGTCAGTAGGGCTAAGAAATGTCTGAATTTTTCATATATGCCATTGTTTTCTCTGTATGTCCACAGCAAAACTAGGAAAAATGCGCCCAAAGTTCACACTCATGCGTGATTACTCAATGGGCTTAGCAAGGCCCGAAAGTATAGCTCAATTTCATTGTCCTGTCCTGTTGGTTTTAATCTTGCGAGGTCTTAAAGTTGCATATCGTCTGAAAGGCACCTTTATTAGGAATGGAATGGCAAACAGAAAGTATGCCACAACCTTACTAAGGTCACAAAAATGCCCTTTACAAAAAAACCTTACAGACACCATATTGAAGGAATGGTATTCTAAATAAATGAAGGAAATCAACAATGTTCTCCACACTTTTCCACTCCGAAATATATCCTATCGAATTCGCCACTTTCTTCTGCACAAGACAACGCCTAGTTTGGCTGCCGAAACTTGCCTGAACATGGAATATTCACATAAGAGTATCTTAACACCCCACTCGAGGAGCGCTAGGGCAAACAGCACGATATAGGTATGTTCCGGACATAGGCGAATAATTTTACTTCGTGATTTATATGATGCATATTTTCTGAGACACATTCATTAGGAATAGGATGACAAGCGTAAATTATACATACCGTAACCTTATTAACCATCGCACTTGTGGGGAGGGGGAGGGGGAAGGGGTCGGATAAAACCCCATGGTTTTCCGCAAATTACTCGCGCAAAAAGCGGCCGATCGCGCCGAAACTTTCGGTACCCTCGAGATCATCAATTTTACATCTAACCTAAAAATTTCATGACTCTGACCCAACTGACCTTTGACCTGTGGCATATTTCTCGAGACCATGTTTGGCCGGAATCGCGATTCGGCGTATGCCAGCTCACATTATCCGCGGTTTCCAGTCTTTTTGTGGTTTTAAACGTTCAAATATGTGAAATGATGTTGGTGCCATGCATAATGGTGGGTGTCAAGGTCACGTGAAGGTCAAGTCAAGGTCATTGACCTTTTGATGACCTTGGTTCACTTTTTCGAGTTTTACTTGTTCTAGGGTAGTTTTTGGTGCTGATTTCGATTTTAGCAGCCATTTGAATATTTACGAAGTAGTTCTAGTGCCTTCGTTCCATGTTACGACGCTATCAGTAGTAGGTGACACTTCTATGGATGGCCGGCAGGACGCCTACTAATTGATCTAACCTGACCTGACCCGACCTGGCCTAAATGCATAAAGACATCGTCTGTGATCAAAACTAACATGAAATTCGTGATCAGCACCCCAAAATACCCCGTAACACCCTAACTTTGCGAAGTTTCAAGAGGTTTCGATTTCCCAACTTTAGTTGGGTCATTAAACTGACTTGGAAAGTCAGCTTATGACCTTGGACTTTGAACTTGGATATATTCAGCCTAATTTCGTCATAGGCAGCACGCTTGACTTTTCCGCGAAGCTCTAGCTTGATCAGGGGCCAAACGGCTGAGCGGGGGGTCCAATTGAACCCCCTATACTATGTTGATTATGCACATTTACAGGTGAAATTCTCACCAGGAAACACCAGCCAACATCTGTGCACAATCTGGCTACAATTCTACCTATGGTTTGCCCTCTACGAATAAATACGTGCTAGATCGGAAAAATCCCCACTGTGCAGTGGGGAGAACAGATATCGGGCGGTAATTGTTCGGATCGCCAATATCACCCTTTTTATGCAGTGCGGTTATAGTGGCAGATTTCCATTGCATGGGCAGGTCGCAGCTGACAATAGAACAGTTTACAAGCTTGAGCAGCTGAGGACCGATCACAGGGAAAGTGAGCCGTAACATGTGGACGGTGATGCCGTCTTCACCGCTCGCTCGCGATGCTCCCATCCGTTGCAGTGCTGCTGAGAGCTCGGGAAGCGTGACGGGGTGGGGCTTGAACGAGCCACTGCACACGCGAGGCGGGCGCGGTGACAGCGTCTCTCCCACGTCCATGTTGGTCATGGCGTCAGCAACATTTGGTCCGACCGATGCAAAAAAATCGGTTTTGGCGGTCCGCCCACTCTGGATCCCGTGTTGCCACTCCCGCCGCCACCGACTTGCTTGAGGACACCAGGAAACGGCGAATGTCCTTCCAGGTCTTTGACCGAGAGTTCCGGAAAGACGTCTCGTAGAAAGAGGAACACGCACGGTTTATTGCCATCTTAACAGCGTTTCTGCGCACGCGGTACTCTTCCCTGGTCTCCTCACACGGGTGCAGTCTCTGTCGGCACGGGTCAGATCACGGGCCGCCATCGCCTCCTTCACAGCCTCATCCTCCATCCATGGGCTCGGCCTGTGCTTCAGCTTGATGGTCTTCAATGGCATGTAGTGGTTCATAATCGGGTCCCATACAGCCAGAAACCTGTCCCACTTGTCGGTGATAGATTGAGCGGCGTCGAGCTCAGACCAGTCGGCCTGTAGCAGACTGAGACAGAGGGCGTCCTCATCAACACGACGCGTCGACCTGACGGTGATGATCTCGGGGGCACGCTGCATCTTAACCTTTGTGACACGGACGGAGATTACTAACTTGAATAAGTGAAATAGCCTCTAGCAGGGATACTCTTCTATGACCTTGACCTTTGAGCAGCCTTGTATCGTAAGATGAACCACAAATAGGGAACTGATAAGCCTCAAAACATTTCAAAACATCTTGGAAGTTAGCACGCAAGATGTGCGAAAAAGTGCCAAGTTTGAGGTCAATTTTGAGCGTGACCTTGACCTTGACCTTTGATTTGGAGCACATTTTCAGAATCCTCAAATTCTCTTCTTTCGTTTGACACCCAATTTTGCCGGTTTGATGCAGCCTGCCGTCCTCTAGAAGGCTTACTTTGAGATCACTACACATGTGCCGGTTTTGGCCTTTGACCTTGACCTCTGACCTTGAAAATTGACCTGAGGTGAAAAATTTTAGGTGCATTAGAATCGTCTCGTAAGTACCTTTCGTTTGGTATCGCTTTTGTTTCCGTAGCTCCCTTATTTACGGAGTTAGACAGGGGGGGGGGGGCGAAAAACGCCCCCCCCCCGGGCTGCGGTGGTTGGGATTACCCCCCGGGCCCGGCCGGGTTAAAGGGACCCTCCCACCTTCAAAAAAGTTAATGAATTGGCACGAAAGTGATGTCGCTCGGTTCAGAAAGAGCGAAAACGAATATCTACCAAATTTCATCGAAAAATATTCACCGGTTTTCAAGACATTAGACTTTTACTTTTGTTTACTTTTTGGGATCTCCGCTGTTCCTAGCGACTTTATTTGAAAGTGCGGCATTTGTTGCGCGCAAAGCAGCATATACCACCGCGTGCTACCAAACGTTTTAGTAAAAGATTTAAAAATCGTTAGATCTCCGCTGACGTCACAAATTCTAAGGGGGCATACCAATGCACTAGCCCCTTAGAATCCGAAAACTGCAAGTTTGGAATTCCATATCTCCGAATTAAAGCATTTGTCGATGTTGTGAGTGCCCAAACCGGTATTTGCAGGCCATGGCCACCAATTTGGCTATCTCAACTCAAAACTAATGTTAAGGTGGGAATGTCCCTTTAAGCCGATGAGAAAACAGGATTTGGGGGAACCCTAGGTTTGGCTCCTTCCCATATATGCCCCCCCCCCCGCATTTTCTGGTCGTAAATTGATCAGACCGTATAAAATATCATCCAGAAAAAATATTACTCATTCTGGCACAGATTGGTGGGCTACCAAAGTACACCGTTTTGCTTTACTCCGTGAGACCGAACTTGTGCTGCGATTTTCATGTAAATGTTGACGAGTCTCCTGCCATATTCTTCGCTTGAACATGCGTAAGTAAGATATCAGCTGAAAGGAGAAAATGTGCGGAATCCATTGGTAACAAAAGTGCATCTAAAAACTTCCCACTCAGTTATTGTAAGCTAATTGTTGCACACTTGCACAAAGCAGAAGGGCTTGAGGATTTCAATATTTACATAGGCCTACCAAAAAACGCACAGCGTGCTTCACATCGAGACAACGTCCATAACATCTACCGTACAATTGTGATTCATTTGCTGAAAAAATTAGGTCGGCATCACACTGCCGGCAAAAGTTATTGCAGTTTTAGTGACGCTAGGTCGCCGCCCGGCCGACCCCGATCAGGTCGGCCGGGCGGCGGCCGTGCAGCTGACGTCCGTACGGTTCGGGAGCTGACCAATCAGCTGCGTGAGAGGAGCGCGGTCCGTCTATAATCGCTCCCGGCAGTTGCTTGTGCTGAGGGGTGCTCGACGCTCGTGTCGATTGCATTTGTTGGTTGTCGATTGTCGATTGACATGTGGGTATACGGTATACTTTCTGGTGACCAATAAATGCACGTCGTCTTAACCCTCGCCCGCACATGCCATTTTCCCATCCTAGAACGCACATGGGGGGTGGTTGCCACCCCCCCCCCCCGCGCCGTTTCGTTCCTGTTGGAGATAGAGCTTAGCAGTAAAGACCAAAAAGATTCTTTTGGAAGAGACGAATCCAATGATACCCAGTTTTACCTTCTCAGGTCAGTCATTGACCTTCCAGGTCAGGTCAAACTAAAAAATGTTGCTGTTTTGGGTCACCGTTGGATATCAAGTGTGCTGCTTATCAAATACCGATGACGATGCTGTTTTCTGGTGCCAAGCCAGCTAGAACCTCTTTGTCACACTATCCGACCAGAATTTTGCTGCTGAGGTCATTTCAGGTCAAGTTAGGTCAAGGTCAATTATATGTGTTTGTATGTCTGTGTGTGTCTGTGTGTATACTGATGTGTGCACCGATTGTTTTTGGGTCCATAACACATGAAATCATGATCTGAGAAGCTTTTACCAAAAATGCAGTCAAAAAACTTCACAAAAAGTAAATTCAGCTTGCCTAAAACGCAATTATCTTAGATGACCTAGGTTGACCTTGACCCTGACCTTGACCCCTGTACATCGTCGAACAACATGTTCCATGATAGGTGGGAGGTAAGACTGGCAAAAAAGGCCGAAATCAGGGTGTCAAAAGCTCACAAGGCCCATGGCAAACGCAAGATGTTGAGAATTGGCCATTTGGGTCATGACATGACCTGAAAAACAAGGTCATATCTCCGAAACCAAAAATCACAGAAACTTGAAATTTTCAGTGGACATCAAGAAAGAATAGACGAGCAGCTATACGAAAAATCAGCCTTCTAGCTCTAAAAATGTTGAGTGCAGAGCAGAAAGACTGCCTGGGGGGGTGGCAACCACCCCCCCCCCCCCATGTGCGGGCGAGGGTTAAAGGGACCCTCCCACCTTCAAAAAAGTTAATGAATTGGCACGAAAGTGATGTCGCTCGGTTCAGAAAGAGCGAAAACGAATATCTACAAAATTTCATCGAAAAATATTTACCGGTTTTCAATATATTAGACTTTTACTTTTGTTTACTTTTTGGGATCTCCGCTGTTCCTAGCGACTTTATTTGAAAGTGCGGCATTTGTTGCGCGCAAAGCAGCATATACCACCGCGTGCTACCAAACGTTTTAGTAAAAGATTTAAAAATCGTTAGATCTCCGCTGACGTCACAAATTCTAAGGGGGCATACCAATGCACTAGCCCCTTAGAATCCGAAAACTGCAAGTTTGAAATTCCATATCTCCGAATTAAAGCATTTGTCGATGTTGTGAGTGCCCAAACCGGTATTTGCAGGCCATGGCCACCAATTTGGCTATCTCAACTCAAAATTAATGTTAAGGTGGGAGTGTCCCTTTAACTGAATGTAGTCTGATCAAATTCAATAAAGCAAAAAGACATCCAGCCAACAGAACATCGTAAGAATGTCCGATATGGTTGATAACATTCAGAGTTTTGGGGAGCAGCCATCGACCAGAATGAACCTTATTGGCTTTTGTATGTAACATTTGCATTGCTTTTGGAAAGTTTCAGTCAGATATCTTCAGAAATGGCAATGTTATCGGCTTTTGCATTTTACCGTAGTCGGTTAATCACAATTTTCGATATTGCAAAGGCAATTTCAGTACGTTCTTGACATAAAAAACCAAAACGAATAGCATCATCGTGTTCCAGAGCTCAAATTGCATCCGATGCACATCTTTTTTGTTGAGAATGTTCAACTTCAAAATTTGGCATTTCTGACCTCGCCGTGACCTGACCTTCATTTGTCGAATGGAAATAGTTTCGAATCGGACGACCCAGATGACATCATTTTTAGATGCTTTTGCCGAAGTGGACCATTAAAGATGTGTCGCATGACCTTAAAAATGTATACATTTACTTCCATGACCTTTTCCATGACCTTTTGTGACCCATGACCTTTCCATGACCTTTTGTGACAAAGTTAGGTTTCGTTTGTCAGCTATTCCTATCAGAAGCCGTTTGAACTTTTAGTATTGAACGAGTAGTTTCGAAGACAGCAGGGAAGCTATGCAGAATCCCCTCCCGAGTCACCCACGTTGGGATATACCCGTCATCCGCGGATTACAAGTGTATCGATATGTTGAGTCGCCTATATCGATATGTTGTGATTCGCTTATATCGATATGTTGTTGGTCGCCTTTTGTATCGATATCAACGTGTGGGCCAATAAAGGCGTGACGTGTCACTTGCTGGCACGGCACGGAGCACGAAACATGGCGCAGCCTGTGGTGAACTTGCGGTTTTGATTTCTATTTTTGGTGGGTTAAAAGCAACTTGAAGAAGTGTAAGAAAGCGAGAAGAAGCAAGACAACATCAAGCAGTGATGTCTGGATTTACCCCACCAGAACAGTTTGATTTTACTTCACCAGAGCATTGGCCTCTGTGGCGCGACCGCTTCAGACGATATCGCCAGGCGTCAAAGCTAAATCTCGATGAGGAGGAAACCCAGGTCAGTGCACTTGTTTATGCAATGGGGCCAGAGGCTGAACATATTATTTTGAGCATAGCAGCTTTCCCTCACAACAATTTTGAAGCTGCTGTGCGCTGTTTTGATGGGTACTTTACCCCAAAGAGAAATGTGATTGCTGAGAGGCATGCTTTTGAGATTAGAACACAAGGCGCTTCCGAGTCGAACGAAAGCTACATTAGAGCAGTGCATTGCCTTGCCGAACACTGCCAGTTTGCTGACAAAAATGAAAGGATCAGAGACCGTCTGATAGCAGGAATGAAAGATAAAAATATGTCCAAGCAGATTCAGTTACGAGCTCTGGATTCAGATGTGACTCTTGAAGTTGTGGTGCAGATGCTTCGTAATCATGAACTCGTGCATGACCCGAGTACCACAGACCATGTGAACAGGATTGAAAGCAGAGCGAGATACAAGCCAGCACCACATCAAGCAAGACGCCCAAGCCAGCCTGGACCAGCTGTTGGACGAAGCCAGAGCCAGCCAGATCCAGCCTCGTCCAGACCAAGATCAGGTCGTGGACGAGCAGGCAGAGGATCACTACTCTCCACAACATGCAGGTATTGTGGAAGGAGGAGGCATACCAGCCCACAGCAATGTCCAGCCCTGGGGAAAACCTGTTTCAAGTGTGGTGGCAGGGACCACTTTGCGAATG